TGGGGGCGGGGGCGGGGGGAGAAGGGCATGGAGGTGAATGTGGCCACCGAAGTCCTCCTCCCTTTCCTCGAGGAAAATAGCTCAATGAGCCCTTTACCTGGAATTGTGCCTGGTGCTTACCCTTGCAAAGATACGAGACTCCTGGACGACAGCCGCCATTCTCTGAGTATTCTGATGGTTAGAATATTGTGCTGAAGCGTTAGACTTTCGGAAAGATCTTTTTAATTGAGGGTTCAGCTAAACGTTTGTTTCCACAAAGCGAGAGAGAGATCACCCCCAAACAATTGAAAAGATTTCCGATATAATTTAAGACCTCACCAAACAATGAAAGAATAATCACTAAATAATTAAGTAGGACTCCATGAGTTAAGATCACAAATTCGGGAGCAGGAGAGCCATAGGCTCAAATTCTGGCTCTGCCACTCACTAGTTTGTCCCTTCGCAAAATTACCTACCTATGCCTCAAAAGTTTGTCATCTGTAAAACAAGCATCACAATAGAATCTGCCGCATAGGGCTTTGATGGGAATTAATCACTTAGCAGGCGTTCCATAAAAGGTAATTCTTGGCATTAAAAAATAAGCTGCTCAGCCAAAGAGGCCATATCAGAGAGGGTAAACTGAGCTGGGGAAGCCAGACAATGTGGGGGTACTGGTATTGAACTGATTTCCAGAAAGTGGGTCCAGGACACGAGAGCAGGTGGCAGGTGAGCAAAGTATCATCTCTCTGAGTAGCAATGAAATTACCTGGCTTCTTGACACTTTTCAAATTGAGCACGTGGCATGTGGTAACAAATTCAAACTTATTTGCTACTCAATCACTTTCTTTTCAAAACTCACTTTCATATTAATCTGTTATTTCTAAAAAGAAAATAGAATTTTATATTAGGGGAGTTACACATAATCTCATATTGTGGAACCCATGGCATTTGAGTTTATGAGAGACTGCTTTTTATTAACTTTGATCAAATTAGATCATGTAATTCATGTCTTTATAATGTAGCACATATGGAATTGTTTGTATTGAAGTGATGTTAACTTTTTTTTTCCCCCGTGGCTGGCCAGAAAAGGGATCCAAACTCTTGACCTTGGTATTATCAACACCAAGCTCTAACCAAGTGAGCTATCCAGCCAGCCCTAAGGTTGACTCTAATTTGTGTTTATGGACAAGAAACATAAAAGGATTATAACTGTGTTTTGCCAGTCTTTATCTCTAAAGCTTAAATTACAAGGAAGTGGCTTTATTTTATGAAGTTTTATTTAAAGGACACTTTTGTTAATGTTGCTGTTAGTTTTATTAACATTACTAGCTTTGAGGAGGGAATAAACTTATTAGTTGTGACCAGCAATTTCCATTGATGTCATTTTATCTTTTTATTTTATTAATATGAAATAATAAGTTTATTTTGATCCTAACTTAATATCATCATTGTTTTAATGTACTCTTTTTTCAAATTGCAGAGTTGAAATTCTCCAATGTACTTATGATTGGATATTGACTGGAGAATTGTGGATAGAATTCTAAAGCCAACATGAACTTTACTGTTTTATTTTCCTCTGGTGTCTGATTGTGTTTAGTGCAGTTTAGCTAAAAACATAAAAGGATCTAATAGATTTAGAGTAAATTAGAGTACCATTGTTCACTAAAAATTTTTAAAGAGGAAATTCAACTTTATGCTGAATATATTTTGTTAAAACTCCTTAAAACAAATTATTTGATTTTATATTTCTTAATAGGTATATGTCTAAGAACAGTAACCCCAACTGAGACAAATCTATTTAGCCATACTTGAGATTAATTTGAGATTAATCTGTGTAACCACATAACTGGGTGTTAAGTCTTCCTAATTAAAGTCTGGTTTAGTATACATATAAGTTTTTCTACTATTTCTAATGTGTGTGACATTTTATGATAAATTATTAAATGTTTTGGTTAATCAGAGAGAGAGAGAGAAAGAGAAATAACCAGCCATGGTAAAGAACAAATTAACTGGGCCGGCCCGGTGGCGCACTGGATAGTGCGCCGCTTGGGAAGCGCGGCGGCGCTCCCGTCCGAGGGTTCGGATCCC